AGTCGAATACCTGGTGCTCCTGCAGCGCCTGAAACTCCTCGACGATGAACGGGAAGTTGAAGAAGAATCTGAGGAGCTTGGGGGCACAAGGGTCTCTTATCAGCTTGATCAAGGGATCGTCACTCTCTGGCGGCTCAGGAAGCGGATCAGGGATAGAGGATCGAAGAGACTCTTTGAAGAGAGAAGCAAGGACGAGAAAGTCGCTGGCGTCTCCTCCACTCATAAGCTTATCTATCCTCTCCTTCAGCTGCTCTATCCTCTCCTTCAGCTGCTCGTCTGTCGTTGCAACATTCAGCAAGTCTTCCCTCGCCATCACCTCAAAGGAAGAAATCTCCGAAAGCTTCCGCTTTATTTCCTCTGTATCTAGATCAGGGGGGAACCATCAGCGATACGCTGAATATGGTTGGCAGACGGAATTTTGACTGCTCTTCCCTGGGAGGATCTGCTAATTTAAGTCACAAGGATGCTGATGATCACAGGCTGGCTGATTTCACGTCATCCAGAACAAAGTAGAGACTTATATCCATCATCATTCCATCTCCGACTCAATCATCATAATGTTAATCGTAGTCTCCACTTCCATCATGATCCCATCTCCATCATCATGGTCGTCGTCGTCATCATCATCATCATCATCATGGTCATCATGGTCATCATAGTCATCATCATCATCATCATCATCATCATCATCATCATCATCATCATCATCATCATCGTCGTCGTCGTCGTCGTCGTCATCATCATCATCATCATCATCATCATCACCACCACCATCGTCTCCATCATCGTCGTCTCCATCATCTTACCACCATCCATCGCTGCCTCCTCCCCTTCCGCCATGGCAACCGTTGATGTTGACTAGCTGGTTAACACGGCGTTGCGGATTCTCATGTTCGAACCGACCGACGGTCGGGCGGCCCGCGGACGAGTCCCCGCCGGGCCCTCGGTCGGATCACTAAGTCGGAGTGCCCGGCAAGCCCAGCGGGCCTGACTGAGTCCGCGGCCGGCCCCCGCTGGCCCGGGGGTCACGGGCCGGGCGCCGTCACGTGCCAGCCGCTGAGGCTGGCCGGGCCGCAACCACCGTGGCACTGTGCTCACCGGGCCCGGCCCGGGCGCGGCCGCCGATCAGTGACACGGGGCATTCACGGCCGCTGAGAGCTATACCGGGTCTCTTTCATTTCCCAACTCATCCGAGTCTGCCGAATCTTGAACGTCTATCATAATTTCCTTCCAGCACAGATGGGACTATCATCGGCTATCATTATGATACTATGATACGACATCAGGCTACGGGAGTCGGAGGTGATGCGAACTCAGTTATGGAAAGCATGTTGGAATTATGATGATGAGACAGTGATTATGACATTGTTGAAGGATTGAGAAGATTGACAGTGAAGGAGCAGATTGACAGTGAACTGGGATAGGCTCAGCAGTCAGAGGTTGCGGAACCTCAAAATGTTTACAAACCGATATTCACTGTTTCATCATAATTGAGACATGCTTTCTATGAGTGATCACCTCCGAGTAGGATATCGTATTACAGTATTATTGCTTGCCCTTGTCAGACGTCCACAATCTCATGTCCTAAACCTGGAAGTTTGTCGTGTGCCGGGACTGACTCACATTGTTGTGTCCATATTCGGTATCAAGACAGACACCTTCCAGCTATTTGGCCTCGTTCGTTCTGGCGCTTGCGTAGGCAGTTGGTGGTGTACTGTATCTTAGTTCAAATTTTAACTATGAGATTTGAATCTTCTTTGCTACTGAATCTTAGTTCAGCTTTATCCTACTCGTAGAGCCGCCGGCCCGCAAGATCTTTGTGAGGTCGTGAAAGAGCAACCTCTTTCACCTGTTTCCCCTATTCTGGCCTAGTTCCTGCATGTCATTGGTCTCAAATGCGCCTCGAACATATCGAAACACATTTTACTATCTGCATCTTCTCTCGCCCCTCTTCTCCGCTCGCTCTTCCCCTCGCTCTGCCCCTCATTCCTCCCCCTCTCCTCTCATTGCCCTCGCCCTCGCTCCTCCCCACTCTCTCGCTTTCGCCCTTCCGCTCGCCCCTCCCCCTCTCTTTCACTCATCCCTCTCGCCCCCACTCTCTCACTCTCCCCCTTTCGCTTGCTCCCCCTCTCCCTCTCCCTCTTGTTCTTGTTTCCTTCCCTCGCCCTCGCCCTCGCCCTCGCCCTCGCCCTCGCCCTCCCTTCTTGCCCTCGCCCTCGCCCCTGAGAGTCTGCCCTCCCTTCCTTGCCCTCGCCCTCGCCCTCGCCCTCCCTTCTTGCCCTCGCCCTCGCCCTCGCCCTCGCCCTCCCTTCTCGACCTCGCCCTCGCCCTCGCCCTCGCCCTCGCCCTCGCCCTCTCGTCCTCGCCCTCGCTCTTGATCTCCCTCCTCCCCCTCCCTCACGGATCGGATGCTATGGGACTGACCCTGTTTCGCATTTTTTTTTGACCATTTTTTTTCCTTTAAAAGTTGCCTCCAAGAATGATACAACGCACCCCAGAATGGAGGCAGCTTGGGAGGGGCTCGAGGGGGGTAGACTCAGTAGAGGAGGGGGTGGGTGTGGTCATAGACTGTGAGTTGAGTAAAAGTTGAGTCGCAGCCTGCCATGACGGATTCCCGTGACTGGTCACAGGTGGCTTACTTAACTATGGGACCCCGGTCGTAGGCCGCCTCCTACTAAAGTGCTAGTCTAACAGGTGACCCACCACCCCTGCCGCCGCTACATGTACCGGGCCCGGTCGTAGCCTAGCCTGTCTATTATGTCAAGGTGACCGACTACCACCCCTGCTACTACCGTGACCGTCATACGGTACTGTCAGCCGTCGGTGATACCTGTCACGGTCAGGGTAGGGCTGCAGGGGCTGGCAACGTAGCGCTCGGCTTTTGCCGGTACAACCTGGCAGTGGCCTCACATACACGGCAATACGGTAGCTACTATGACTCAGCCCGTATTCGGGGCTCTATGGTAGGTGTACCTAGTACGGGCCGAAAGGTACAGTAGTGGTATCTCGCCGGGTCAACTTTTAAACCGGGGGGGGGGCTGAGGGTTCAACATTTCGGCGGGTACCCACCCACCCCCTTATGATCAGGGGTGTATCACCCCCCCTTGAACCCAAGAACGGGCATGTCTGAAGGTGTCTCGGTCATGACTGACCACATGGACCACCCCCAAGTCACAGCTGATCAGAGTGACTATGGGCAAACCACCCCACCCCCAACACAAGTACAAATGACAGTAAAACCACCCCATGGTGCCTAGTGTAAAATGCACCGCTCCACCCCCCGTTAAAGACCTCTCATCCAATTTTGGATGCAAACCAAGAGGGAAAAAAAAAAAAGAGATGGTCAACCACCCACCCCATTCAGTTATCACATACACACCACCCCAACAGGTGGCGCAGAATATCAATGAAAGTAACCCAGAGAAGGGGGTGGGCTCAAAGGACCACCCCGTTCTCTCAATCATTGCAGGTAGGGGTGGGGTAGGGGGAGAAGTGGTTTATACGGGGTCGTGCACCTATCTCGCGGATCTCTCGGCGCGATGCTGGCACGTCAGGTGCTCCCGCTGCTCGCCATCGCAGGCTCCTTCCTCCTCGCCTCTGCCCACCCTGATGAGGTCGTCGGAACAGACGCTCACTGCGCAAAGAAACTTGACGTTGGGGTCAACTATGGTGAGATGGGAGGGGCTGTACAACCTTCGACCGGGCGAGATGTTGGTCTCGTCAAGGACGGAAAGCTCATCCCCTGCGGTACTTCCATCAAGGCAGGCACGGCTGGCCTTCAAGTGTGGATGACAGACAATGTTGCCACGTCAACCAACCAGTTTCTCTTCGAGCTTAAGTTCTCTGCGACTGGAAGCAGCACGTGGGGTTTCGCCGGAAGTGTGGACCAAGGCTCCTGCCCCACTACCCGTCTTTCCAACCCCAAGTACTCCAAGACTTCTACCGTCACCATGCCATCGGTCAATGGTGACCTCACTGTGCGCGGGTTGTGGGCTGCGGACTCGAAGCACGGGATCATGGTGAATGAATGCAAGTACACCATCGCGACAAGTGCTGCTGACATCACCGTCGGCACGGACTGGAGAGCTGGTAAGACCGCTGAGTGCTATCTATCGTCGTCTGACAGTGATGGTTTACAGTTACTATCCCTGAAACGCCGGTCGCTGGATCCACCATGTTGTCCGCCTCTTCTTCCCTTGCCCTCATTGCTTCATGCTTGTTGGCATGGGTTTGCAGGAGCTACGTTTGAACGTTGCTCGAGCTGTCTTAACTTCTCCATCAGAGGTGAAGCGATGGAAATATCTAGCAAAGCATCGTCCTGTGTAATCATATTGAAAATGAAAATCGCGAGCAAAAGCGCGGAACATCCAATGACGTTGTGAACTGTTCTAGACCGCATGCGGGGGTCCTCTTTGACTTGCGGAGGGTAAGCCAGAGGAATCTCTGCAAAGCTCTTCGTCAAGTACGGAAACCTCTGAGGAAACCTTGAGATTACCGTCACGGTTCGAGGCTTCACCGTCCTGCCATTTTTCAGGTTCCGAGTCGCATTCATTTTTGTGTAAGAAGAGTGACGTCAATCATTAGTCGAACAGAAGTGCCGCCGTACGTCACAAGGCGCATCTACCAAAGGCTCCGCTATGATTGAGTTGAGAAGGTTCAACTAAGTTGAAGTGTTAAACATGGCATACCATACGAAACTCACGATGGCCCGGCAGCTTTTAATTGGGGTCTCAGTTTTGCTTTTGAGGAATCATAGTACTATCAAGCCTGGCCGCCGGCCGCAGTTTTCAGCCTGGGCCGCTGGCACTGCGGCAGTCTCAGTGACCGTTTAGGCTATGATAGTACGGCCCGGCCGCGGTGCGGGCCGGCGCCCGGTCCGGGCCTGACTCAGGCGCGGCGGGACGGACTGCCTCGGAGCAGCGGCCCGTCGCTCGCAGGTCTGCTCGCAGGTGCGGCCCGGCTCAGTCACACTAGTAGCCTAGTAGTGCGCCGCCGGGTGCATCAGCCTGGCAGCGCGGCGGCCGGCCGGCCTGGCAGGAGGCTGATGAGGGGGGATGAGGGCGAGTCGCAAAGGTCAAGTTGACATGGGCGAAGCAGAGGGGACTGGAACAGTGAAGGGAGGGGAGGGGGGAGAGCAAGGAGTCGAAGAGAAGAGAGACGAGCTCGTGCAAGTGAGGACAGGAGGAGAGGTCGGCAGCAAAGAGGTTGAGAATCCCCCAGCGATCAAGTAAGTGAAGTAATGTTCCTTTGCATCTAACCTCCTTGATGGTTCTGATCATGGCAGGAAGGGACCGTCAGCAGCAGCCCAGCTGAAACTTGTTCAGTTCTCTGAAGGAATAGTGAACAAGGTTGATCTGCAGCCTACGACTGTGATCTCAGGACTGACGTGCTGCTTTTCTTCTAGGAAGTGGTGCTCGGAAACCTTTGGCGGGATCAAAATGTGCGTTTTTACTCTGTGCAGACTCGGAGCAAGGAAGTGATGACCGATGTGAAGGTTGTGATAATGGTCTTGCCCGACTTGAGATCCATGTCATGTCGAAGGATGCTTCTCTCTGCTGGAATCCTGCAGGTCAGCTACCATGGAGTCTGTTCTTCGCGTAAGAGCAGAGCAGGCACAGTTGCTCGCACATGAAGTTCCTATGTGCCTTGTCTTCGGGACGAGAGTATCTCTTCGTTCCTCCTCCTCCAAGCTGCTGACGTCATCTCGGCAGAACCCAAGACAAGCGCAGGTTTGCATGGAAGATTTTTCACTCGATTTGTCAAATGGTGAGATAAATCAAATCACTAAATTCACCGCGGCTCGAAGACTGAAGTGGCATGATAGTTGAGCTCTACATTGACAACTCAAGAAACTTCCGAGTCTACGAGGCTCTGGGCATGGAAAAGCGCAAAGCTCTGAAATCAACGTTTAATGAAGTGAGCAGGAGGTTATGCAGTAGTGTTACTGACTGCTGGTGATCAGAAAATGGATGCTTTCGGATACTACCTCCTACGAGCTTGCTTCGGTAACACGAGCTCGTGGTGCTCGGGGTTGGGATTTTCGCACAAAAACCCCTTCTTGGTGACACTTGCCTGGCGAAGCCGAATGTCTGATGTGAAGGAACCAGGGGGGAGTCTTCCTGGTGGGGGAGGGAAGCAAGATCAAGTTCCGGTCTCCTCACAGTCCTGGCCAGTCAAGTTCCTCACTGTGTGAGCAGGTGGCAAGACGAGACGGGCATCGACCCCATCCCCACGCGAGATCTTCTCGATGCTGTGAGCTTACACACTCCTAGAGATTTCAACTCTGATAGGGACTGCAGTGCGCCAAACTAAGAAAGCGATCTGCCGCTTCCTCCTCGAAAAATGTGTATGTCAAACCCGAGGATGAGATTGTCGGCATGGTCTATGTTCCTGTCTAGTTCTTCTTGTCTGTCAGGGCGAGTTCCCTCGACCTTGTCATGAAGCAGGAAAGAAGCACGTTTGGAGTACTTGCTGTCTTGAGTGCAGTGAAATCACTTCAAAGATGGTTAAAGGAACATTATGTAATATATTTCAATGGAATATTCTTACTGCACATACCAGTCCACATAAAGCGATCTTGACAAAGGTGGGACTGCAGGGGAAAGCACCGGCTTTCATCACGATCAACTAGATTCAGCGGTTGATCCAAGCTTTCGCGGTAGATACTCGGAAGGTACAGAGGAAAGCTGCCATTTTCCTTCCCTCCATTCAGATTGAGCGATAGTCTAAGGATGTACTGCCATGAGCAAGAAAGAGCAAGCACGGGAGGAGAGATGTATCACCTGAACTCTCTTCCCCTGACGATAGTCAGCTATGCATTGTCTCCCGTTCGCCCAAGTATAGATACCCCTCCTGGAACTTCACGATGAACTGCAGCTTCAGAAGAGGCTGTTGGGACTCACCCATGCTTGAAGTCATCTACATACTCTCCTTCGAACTTGTCCCCGCTTGCCCACGTGTATATTCCTGGCCCATGCTTCACTCCGTTCCTGCACATGTAACAAACGACAGGTCAAGATGAGGCAAGAAGGAAGCAAGCGGGCAACCGAAAGAAACCGTCATATGAATCTCCTTCATGTGGCCCTCCAACGTAGCGGACAAAATGGCGGCCGTCAGACACCTCCATCACTTTTGTTCTGTTCGCGTCAACTCCCTCTGTACTCGCCTTCAGAGACTAGCTTGCAAGGGGAAAGCACCTGCCTTGCACAAACAGTGGATCCCTCGAAATGCTGCTGTCCAATGGCTGGGTGTTCTTCACATTTTCCTGATTCGAATTCAACTCTGTCGGACGTGGAAACTTGAGCGAAACGCGCTTGGGAGAGTCGTGCAGCGGAGACTCTTCTCTGCTGAAGCAAGCTCATGGACGGCAGCATGTTGGCATGCAATCAGACATACCGAAAGCTGCCGTCCTTGAGGAACTTGTCACACGGCTGACACATTCCGCAGCTGAGAGTATCCTCCTGATAATACAATGACACCATGACGTCTTGATGTGCAGAAGAAACTACCTGCGACAGGTTCGACCCTGCGTTTCCCATGATAGTATCTCGGACTCCTCTATCTGCTCTGCCATGCAAATTAAGATGGGAAATCTCTCAAGCATTGTGAGCTATCTAGTATGCTTCAGAACAAGCCAGATTGGGTCAGACTGCACCCAGTGATGAAAGACAGGAAACGAAATCATATCGAACATGTAAAGAAAACAAACGCGACAACAATGAGATGAAAAGGGAAACGAACAATTGATCCAGGACAGCATATCAGAAGGATATCAGAATGATAAAAATGGAGATCACAAGGAGAACAGGTAGTAGAACAGCAGAAGCTGTAGGAAGAATGCGGCAGCGCTGCTCTCTACAAGGAATATGACGAGGAGGTGCGGGAGAGAGGAAAGGAGTAGGGGAGGGAGGGAGGGAGGGAGGGAGGGAGGGAGGGAGGGAGGGAGGGAGGGAGGGAGGGAGGGAGGGAGGAGGAGGAGGAGGA